TCAAATGCACCTTTGTCACATGAAGCATAAATACTAGAAAAATCACAATCAGATTCATACATGCCCTTAATATGCTCGAAACTAAGTAATTTAGTACTTAATGAATTTAAAAGCACGTACCTTCGAGACAATGCATCAGCAACTATATTTTCATTACCTTGTTTGTACTTGATGACGTAGGAAAATGTCTCAATAAACTCCACCCATCTCGCATGTCTTTTGTTCAACTTACCTTGACCTCGCAAATGCTTTAAAGATTCATGATTGGTGTGTATCATGAATTCTTTTGGCCATAAGTAGTGCTGCCAAGTCTCCAATGCTCGAACAAGTGAATATAGCTCTTTGTCATATGTTGGATAATTCAATGCTGCCCCACTCAACTTTTCGCTAAAGTAAGCAATAGGTCTCCTTTCCTGCATTAACACTGCTCCTATACCTATTCCTGATGCGTCACACTCAACTTCAAATGTTTTATCAAAATTTGGTAATGCTAAAACAGGTGCTTTACATAGCTTATCCTTAATTGTGTTAAATGCAATTTCTTGAGATTCTTCCCAATGGAAACCTACACTCTTCTTTACTATTTCAGTCAACGGTGTGGTGATGGTGCTAAAATCTCTTACAAATCGATTATAAAAACTAGTCAATCCATGAAAACTCCTAACTTCAGTTATAGTCTTAGGTGTTGGCCATTTTTTTATAGCTTTTATCTTTTCTTCATCGACTTCTACCCCGTTAGCACTAACCACAAATCCTAGGAAAACAACTCTATCCATGCAGAATGTGTACTTTTTGAAATTAGCATACAATTGTTCCTTTCGCAACACAACAAGCACACAATTTAAATGTTCTAAATGCTCATCTAGGTTTTTGCTATAGATTAAGATGTTATCAAAATAAACTACAACAAATTTCCCAATAAAAGCACGCAAAACATGGTTCATTAAACGCATAAAAATGCTCGGTGCATTAGTGAGTCCAAACGACATAACTAACCATTCATACAATCCATACTTAGTCTTAAACGCCGTTTTCCACTCATCACCCTCCCGTGTGCGAATTTGATGATACCCAATTTTGATAACACATTGATCCAAGTTGATTCGACCTTCGACCCGAATATGAAAGTTGCTCCATTTTGAGTCTCGAACATGTCTCCATCAATGGTTTCTTGAATGAGCAATCCCATCGCTTGTTTCACTTGCTTTCCCCTTGATCGCGTCATTGGTCCGTCATCGACTATCAACGGGTCTCGTCTCTCACTTGCCTTCGTCGGGCTCGACTCTTGGATCATATCACTTATCAAAACAAACATGAACATTTGCTCCAGAATCTAGCCACCATTCATTAATATTATAAGTAAAATTAACTAAAGATGTTGATGATTCACACCTAATGGAATGTCCACCATCTTTCAACATGTTTACTTGATCCTTTTGAAATTTGTTTTTAAGCTTGTACTCCTTAGTCTTTTTGTAGTAGCAATCTCGAGCAATATGGTTGGTTCTTCCACATACATAACATGGTTCTTGTTCATTCTTCTCTTTTCCTTTGTTATTCTTAGTGTAGTTATTCTTAGGTTGGAATTTTTTCCTGTAATGATGAAAGTTTTTCTTAAACTTATTACCTCGAGTCTTAAATTACTTTGAGGAGCTAGTAGGGATTTTTGAATTTTCTATCAAGTTTGCCTTGGCATGTGATTCATCAACTTTGTTGATACTATTTCTATGATGTTCTTCTATTATCAGGGAATTGAATACTTGGTTCAATGTTAAAATCCCTTGCTTATGTCTAAGGCTTTTAGCAAAGTCCGACCAAGAAGGCGGAAGTTTATCGATAAGGCATGAAACCTTATAGTCCTAAAACTTGACTCTTTTTTCTTCTACGTGTTGTAGTAATCTTGAAATTGATGAATTTGTTTGTTTATAAATTTTTCATCCACCATAACATATTTGTTAAAGGTTGACGTGTTAAATCTACCGACTCCAGCGTCATCAATTCCATACTCTTCCTTTAATATTTTCCAAAGCTCTTTAGCACTCTTGATATTTTGATAAATATTATAAAGTCTATCAGAAAGAGTACTTAAAATTCGATTATAACAATGGAATTCAATCTTTTCTGAGTTATACCAAGATATAGATTCTCTACCTTAATTATTTTCTTTTATAGCAGAAATTAACCTTAAAACGGTCAACCAATATTCCATTTGTTTTTTTCCATCTTTTAAAATTATATATATATATATATATATATCTAATTTTAAAAGTTCTGTAGGAGATAAATTCATTTCTAATTCTTTAGGATATATTATTCTGTCTTCAATTTCTATTTCTACTTATATATATATATATATATATATAACACCAATAATAAAAAATTTTCAACTAAGTCCAATATTCAAAACAATGTTAATTCAAATATTTCAAGTAACAATATAACAAATTAAATGAATATTGAAGTTTAAAATGACATAGTCACAATTAATTATATGTTCAAGTCAATCAATCAAGTAAATAATATAAGTTTTAAAACTTTCCACTAAGTTATCAAAATGAAATAAGTGCTTAAAATTAAAAATATTGAAGCAATTTTGAAGAGTGCAATACTTAATCAATAAATTTCTATGAGCTTCAAAAATGAAAATTTATATAGTTGTTTCAAAATGAAGGTTACAAAAGGTCCTAAAATTTAATAGAATCAAAAAATTGAAGTATAATAACAATAAGTATGTTAGCAACTATCAAGTGTTATTATCATACAAACCACACACATGACTTTAGATTGTTGTAAAATTAACGTAATTTGTGCAATGAACTATCAATTATAAGCATGAATCAAATAAAATAAATATGAGAATAGAGTTAGGAAAGCTTGTCTAAAAGAGTAGCGATAACCGCTATCCTAAAGTCGTGTGGCCTTCCCTTCATGTGAGTACTTTCGGCACTACACGGTTCCAAGATAAAACATTTATAGCTCACAACCGATTCTCCTTCTATGAGCACGACCACAAGGAGAGAAAGAACAAGCCATTATCAATTGTCAAAGTTTATACAAGAAGATGAAATGACTAGAAAGTAGTATGAAAAGACTAGAGAGTATTTTTTGTGTTTGATTTGTTGTATGTCAAAGAACGTGAAATCCGCCACTTTTATGGTAAAAAAAATTCAACCATCTCATTCAAATTAGGTTACAATATAATAATGGGTTTTAATCTTTTGTTTTAAAAAAAAAAAAGAAAAAACTTAAAACTTGAAATTAAAAAATGAAATCTGAAATTTTAAGATTCTATTGAAAGTTTCATAACTCATTTTCCAACAATAGTTAGGACATAGCCACGTAGTTTAGGTTTAGAGAGGCACATTTTCTTTACTATAAGAACGTATTGCTCTTATTTGGTAGAAATTAAAATTTTAATTTTAGTCCAAGTCAATAATTAATTTTAATTACATATTTAGCCCCCGTTTGGTTCTAATTTTTCATCCCAAAAAATCAAAATTTTGAGCGTTACTTTCAATAGTTAACCGTCATTTTTTACTTCTTCACTCACAGATGAGATTCACTTTTCTCTCTAACGGTCAAAAAATTAATTCTTATAATCACTGCTAAATATGCCATTAATAGGACCCACAACTTTCCCATCGAACATTTTATCAACTTTCATCAAAGATCTCTTTCCTACCGAGACACGCAAACTCCCATCATGTCCCAGATCATATTCCGTGTATCAAGGCGTCTATATAAGAATGTGTTCACAAAAAAAAATGATTTTACTCCTCACCAATTTACAAAAAATCTGATTTCAATCCCTACCAAAAAGGAGCATTATGTATTCATTTCTTCGTAAGGGATTGTTCAAAATGAGTTCGAGTTAACCATTTCTTTTACTATAAAGGACTTAAGGTGTCTGTGTTGACCCTTTTTTGGCATATTAAAGACAAAAAAATAGAGAAGTGCACGATTGATCACATTCGAACATTTTCAAAGACAACTCACTCTACTACTAAGCTAAAAGCACGTCATGTGAACCTCAAACTGTGGGGCCCTTGTAACTTTCGATAAATTTTCTATTTGCCACTCAACGATGGAATTTTGCTTATTTTGTTTTTTGAGGATCAATGAATCAAAAGATCTTTATTGTCAATTTCTTTATTTTAGCGAAAAATCTAAATATATCTCTTTCGAGGGTAAACTATCATAAATATATAGGTTCTTATACAGAGTGAATTACCCAAATGATCACTAAACTTTGTAAAAAGTTTCTACGGGGGGTCTAAATTTTAAAAATCATTCAATTCATCACTGAACTTTGCAAAATATTTCCACGGGGTCACTGAACTTTAAAAGTCACCCAATTCATCATTGAACTTTGCAAAAGGTTTTCCAAACATTTTATAAAGTTAAATGACTCCGTGGAAACCTTTTGCAAAGTTCAGTGATGAATGAGGTGATTTTTAAAGTTCAGTGACCCTGTAGAAACATTTTGTAAAGTTCAATGACCTCGTGGAAACTTTTTGCAAAGTTCAGTGATGAATGAGGTGATTTTTAAAGTTCAGTGACCCCGTGGAAACCTTGTACAAAGTTCAGTGATGAATTGGATAATTTTTAAAGTTCAGTGACCCCGTAGAAACCTCTTACAAAGTTCAATGACCATTTGAGTAATTCACTCTATGTGTATGTATCTTCACTTTATCAGTGACAGTAGATGATGGACAGGTGATGGTAGGTACTAGTGGATTTGTATTACAATCAAGCTACATGTACATTAAATATTATTTAACGTTCTTGTGAGATGGAATTATTTTACACATTGATCTTCACAACACATTAAATAATCAGCGGCATAGATTTTGACAACACTAATCAAATTTAATATACACCAAGTGTATACAATTAATTTAATCCTTTGTATTAAGATCAACTAGAAAACAAACACAAGAAAGTTCACATGCTCCACTTACCATCAATTAATCAGCTTTCTATTCTTTTAATGACAGGTATTAATCAGCCTCTGTGGCATGCAAAAAGTTCAATAATTGTGTGTAATTGCTTAATGACAAAGAAAAGATCATCCCAAGAAAGCATCATAAATAGTACTAGCAATCTGATTAATCGATAAAACTTAAAACTTTTCATCAATTATTAACAAGATCCAATCCCTTCATCGTGCACCAGATATTCCTAGTCAAAAAAGAACAAAGTGTTTGCCTTTATGGCTTTATCCAACTTTATCCTTTTGCTTCCAACATCATCATTTAGTGTGAAGAAAATGGGATTTTCTCGAGGGAATGTAATGCATCCCTCATGGAAGGTCTTTTCTGTGGAATCAATGAAGCACAAGAGAACCCAAGCTTAAACCACGATAACGTGGCTTCCTCTCGGATTGCCACATCACCCCTTATTGCCATGTCAGCCATCCTTAGAACCCGGTTGGGATCGTGGACAACCAAATCAGTGGTCCATTGTCTCAATTCCCTGTCCGAAAATACTTTGCCTGTTATAAGCTCAAGCAACAAAATTCCGAAGGAATAGACATCCCACTTGGGATTAGGCTTGAGATTTTTTAGCGGCTCCGGTGCATGATATGGGGACGTGCACCCAACAAAGCCTACCGGCGCAATGTAGGGGCTGCCACTAACCGACTGATGATCGTGTACATTATCGTGTGAAGATGTTGATCTGTTGCTACCAAAATGCCTAGCAGAACTGTCTGATTTTTGTCTGTGCTTTCCATATATAAGCCAGTGGAGTCCTAAATCACTGATCACAGGCTCCATTTCTGCTGTCAACAGAATGTTGTTAGGCTTGATGTTGCCATGTACATGTTTCTTTTCATGGATGTAGCTCAGTCCCTTGGCAACTCCTTTAGCAATCTTAAGCCGGACTTCGAAAGGCAAATGATATGGAGATGAACCGGCTTTTCCTGAAAAGAAAAGATGCCCTTTAATTAACAACTTGATTAAATACATGTTTGGCAAGTACTCGACGTGGAATTTTAGTTTCTTTTCATCCTTAATACTGTTGACTGCAGTTAAGCCTGTGACTATGTACTGTAGACAGAACTATGAGCTAATGTTTCACATGTCTTTGTCTTATTCTGTGTTTTCATGGACAGGAATTTTCAGAGTTATTTCCCTCATATGGAGAACCATTGGGAACAACATATGTACCACAGGAGTGCTCTCAATTTTATAAATCACTAATTGTATATGGAAATAATTAAAATTACTACTCATGTTCCCAAATTTATTGGAAAAATCAGGAACAAAATCAACCAAACTTGGCATGAAAGATATGGTACTACATACTCAGAATAATATTTTGCGACTTCTGAAAAATTGATGTCAATACCACAAAGCAATTATAAAAAAGTGAACAAAAATTGAGAGAAAATACTGGCTTAAATTTGAGCTACCCCTGGTTTTGAAATGCATACACAATATTATGAAAATCTAGCAATATGAAATAGATCATAAAAATTCCGAAAGTGGGTAGATTTCAAGGAAAATCAAGAACTTACTGAAACCAACATTGGCCAAGCTTCCATTGGAGACATAGTCATAGATTACTAGCTTTTCATCATCTCCCCAGTAGAACCCTCTGACAGGAACTAAATTGGGATGCCGTAACTTCGCGATGACCTTAACTTGATTCTCGAATTCCTTAAGATTTTCGATTCCACTTTCTCCAATTCTCCTAACAGCAAATGATGTTCCGTCTTGAAGCACTGCTTTGTATACTATACTAGCTCCACTAGATCCTAGAATATAAGCCGAAGCCTTTAATAATGTCTCGAGTTCAAGTTGGGTTTCCCCATCAACCATCACAAGGGACCTTTGGTTCTTGCTTTTCTCAATCTGTTGATTTGCATTATCTACTTTATCATCAATGGCATGGCTGTTATTATAGTCATCACTGTCTGATCCTGTGGCTTCTGATGTTTCTTCACCATTCGCGATACTTAGGCATGACCAAGTGGAAACATTTCGTGCTTCTTTCTCGATTGGTGGTTCTGAATCTTTCTTGAACTGATGTACACCAACTACTGGAGTCTCTTTGTCTGCAGAATCTGCCTTTTTCGTCTTCTTCAATTGATATACATAAAGGAATACGATTGCAAGAAGTCCAACACCGGCCAGGTCCCCAACCGCAATGCCTGCTATTGCTCCAGGTTTTAACCTGTGTTGTGGTGGATCTTGAGCAGCACTTGAAGTTGTTCCGGGAGAATTTGGCAGAGGGGTCGAGCCGATAGTTTTTGGTATGACCGCAATAGCAGGAGGAGAAGTATTTGTCGAAACATTGGGTGGATTCGACAGCGTTGATGGAATTGTACAAAGCTTTTTGAGTGGTTTCCCACAGAGATCTATATTTCCTGCATAAGAATCAGTTTTCTGGTTAAATAAAGCCATTGATTCTGGGATTTCGCCCGTCAGGTTATTGAACGAAAGATCAATTTTCGCGTTTGCCGGGATTTTGTTCGCGAAGTCTGATGGTACTAATCCAGAAAGCTTGTTGAAAGAAAGATTCAAGTATCTCAAACTCCCCCCACCAAATTCAACAGGCAATGATCCATTAAACAAATTGGAAGACAAATCCAGGACTTCAATATGCTGAACTCCACCTGGAATCAGGCCTGAAAAATAATTACTTCTCAAAGAAACCACTGTCAGATTCTTTAAAGAAGGTAAACTCTTCGGAATATTTCCGGCCAATGCATTTTCAGAGAGATTAAGAACCTTGAGAATGTTTTTTCCTCCAGTGAATTCTTGTAGTCCACCAGAAATTGAATTTTTGGACAGAGAAAGAACCTGAAGTTCTGAAGCATTGAAAAGTGAACTTGGGAGAGTTCCATTCAAGAAATTGTTGGAAAGATCAAGGGACCGGAGATGTTCAATGAAGCCTAAATCTTCTGGGATTGTTCCAAGGAGTTTGGAGTTTGGAAGGACTAGGCTAATGACTCGAAACATGTTTGGGGCACCTGTCGAGGTTTTAACTTGAGCACAAGTTACACCAGTCCAGAAACATGGTGTAACATCATTGTAGTCCCAATTATCAAGAACTGATAAAGGGTCACTGAGAATAGAGTACTTGAAAGAAAGCAAAAGAGTTCCATCTAAGTTGAGGCCAAGTGCAGGAACCAAAAGGAACAGAAAAAAAGGTGAAAATGAACTGAAAAAAAGATGATTATTACTTCTGGTTCTGCAGCTCATTGTTTCAATAACTGAAAACACCTCAGCACTGCATACTGCAGAGACCCCTATTTGACAAGGTCGAAGAAGGGAAAGAAGGTAACCAACTACAAATACGTTGTTTTGGTAACCAGAAAAAGATAGGACTTAAGAACCGAAGAGAATAAAGAGAAGTTGGTAAGAATACAGGGATGCCGTTGCTTTAGATATTCCCGAATATCTAATAATGAACTGAACTAAATGACGGAAAACAATTCGTAGAGCTGAACCCAAATTTATTGGGACAAGAAAATAAGCGAAGAACAAATGGGATAACTAGATATTGAAATATACTGGAGTTTAATTGAGCATGGGAAAATGCAGTGAATGGCTGGTATTGTACTTCTTGCTGTCACTACTTTGTTAAAGCTTTGTAAAATTGAATTCTTTCTTGCGATGATTTAGGAAGAAAAAGCAGAGAGGAATCTTTAATTTTTATGCATTTTTGCTACAAGACACATAGAATGAGTTGGACCCCAGCACACAGTTGTGGAGTAGCTAAAGTCCACCTTCTACCGACTTTTTTCAATCTTTCCCATACCACCTGTACATCTTTCAAATTTACTGAAGAGCGAAAAGAACAGACACTGTCATGAATCTTGAACAGTCGGTTTTAGACGATACTGTGCAACAAGGTACAAGCATAAAAAAGTTTCGAGTCAAGTTTCGACATCATATGAAAATTATGTATAATTGGGCTTTTGATGGAAAAATAAGTCCCAGTTGCAAGTGAAGTAGGATTTGAGTGCATCATAGTCTAATAGTTCATACTTTAAGACGAGACTGTCCAACACTTGTGATGGTATTCATATTTTAGCGTACTCAACGCGATTAAGCTTTTTCAGTTCAAACATAGGATTATTTTATTCTACAGCTGACCTGTGACTTCGAAATTTCCAAGTTCAGTCTTTTGTGATAACTGCTAGCTGTAGTCTGTCTTCATTTGACTCACTCATTCCAGAATTAGATGCCCTAAATTCAAAAACGGGTATAATACTTCATTTAAATGCTAGCTGTAGAGCTTGTTTCGTTTGGATTAAAATTTGATTTTAATCTAAGTTAAAGTCAAATAATTAATATTAATCACATTTTTCATGGGTCCCATAACTTTTCAACTACACATTTTAAAAACTTCTGTTACAATCTACTAAGAAATCTAATTTTAATCCCCATCAAACGCCCTCGTAGTCTTTTGTGCACCCCCTTTTTTCTTCTTGAGCAATATAAGACTGAAACTCGTTCCATATACGTTGCAGAGGCCCACGGTCAAGGTGAGGTTTAATCACCCTTTCTCCCAAATTGTAGTCTTGAATTTTTTCTATCCACATGCTTTTATAGAAAATAAAATGGATCGAGGTAATATATATAACACGATATAAAGTATATGATCGCAAGCAAATAACAAGATAAAGACAACGGATTAATTGGCAAAAGAACAGAGTATTTTATTTAATTGACTAATATGGATAAAATAAATACAATAATCGTGTTTACACAATTATTCTAAATTTCAATAATGCAAAACCTGTGAAGGGAGTATAATATTTATAGAGATGCATGCCAAAGCCCTAAAAGTACTAAGAAGATGGAAACAAGATTAAAAAAAAAAAAAAAAAAAAAAAAAAAATCTAGAATCCAAAGATGCCTCGTACAAAAGCCTGGCTAGCAATAGCAATAAAGATGATCTTCATGAAATACAATAAGCATACAAGGGTTTTTCTATTTGTACATCAAAGTTGACACCCCGTTATACAGATCTCCTCACAAGGGGGGCCAAGAATAAAAAAATTGTGGGCCCTTTCGTGAGGGAGTCTGTACACTGGGGTGTCACATGTAGCAAGGCCCAAGCATACAATTATGCATTGATAGTTAAGCATTAAACACGAGAGAAAAAGCTTAGCCCTTTCTTGAGTTTATGTTTTGTTTTTGCTATTAACAAAACACTCATTTAATAATGTCATATTTGTGAAGGAAAAAAACTATTAAAACAACAACAACAACAACAACAACAATATTTAAGCCCATGTTTGTAAAAAATATAAAAAAGGCAATCAAAAACCAAAAAAAAAAAAAAAAAAAGAAAAAAAAAAAAAAAAAAAAAAAAAAAAAAAAAAAAAATAACCCGCTTTGAATAAAGGAAAAATGTTTTTCCTAAAAAAAATTCAACCTAATTTGGGTAAAAAAAAAAAAAGCCAATAATGTCCATCTTGATACGAATTTCAATGCAACAAAAGAAACTCCAAAATTTCTCCACTTGAAAAAATAAATCGACCTGCAATGAAAAATCCGAACTCTTCAACAAAAACCAAACTTTTGCCAACTCAAAAATACTTCTCTTCCACGATATGCAATACAGATACATGAACTCAAACACTAGATTTTCCATAATTCTCAAAGAATTAGAAATTATCAAACAATGTCGAAGCACACACTATAACAGAATCAGCTCCCAATACTTTCATAGAAACCTGTGGCTAGTTTCAAAACCTTCAAAAATACTAAAAGCATGTGCAACCGAATCAGCATCCACCTGCCTATCTGCAATGAATTTTATCTCTAATAGTTGAATACAATGGACCACATGTAATGGTGGTAAAGCGAAATTATCCATATCCTCCAAACTCGAATGAGTAGTATTCTTTAATATGGACTCCTAAGGTACAGTACCAAACCAAATCTCTACGATGATACTAAATCTATGTTGACTTTTCTTCACAAATTATGTCCAACCTTGCAAGATGTATAACTAGGATCTCTTTCGACCCTCTAATACAACACGAACATCCCTTTGAACCATCAAGATTCCACCTCTTCCAGAAAACGTGTACCCTTTTAAATCAAGAGTACTCAACGAAATGAGATTCTTCTTCAAGTCTGGAATATGTCGCGTGTGATCAAGTATTCTACATATTTCATCCACCAGTTTCAATCTAACTCTACCAATACAAGTTACTCAACAACGTTCATTATTATCCATGACAATGATAACTCGTGTCACATTTTCATTTGTTTTAAATAAATCCCGATTGAGACGCATGAAACATACAAGCTATATCCAAAATCTACCATGTCAGAAATCTTCAAAACATTTTCATCACTCAAATAGTTCTTGACTATGTTGATCTCACCTAAAGTATTTGATTGCTTCCTATGATTTGCAGTCAAATTATCTTTGTTCTGCAATTTGTTGCAATCTCTCTTAATGTGTCATTTCTTCTTACAATAATAACAAACCTAATTACTGAAAGTTGATCTCAACTTACCCATTTTTCAATCACTACTAACAACAGGACCTTCTCCATCTCTAGCCTCGGATCCAACTAGATGCTTCATCTTCTTTTTTGAAAACAAGGCATCATGCGCATTTTCGATGATGAGAGTATCGCGACTATACAAGATCGTGTCTTTATACGAAGTAAACAAAGCAACCAATGAACACAAAAAGATTAAGATAAAATCTTCTTCATCACACTTTACTTCTAAAGTCTTCAAATTAGTTACAATCTCCTTGAACACAGCCAGATGATCTTCCAAATATCTGCTTTCTACCAGGCAATGAGATTTCAACCTCTACTTCATATGCAATTTGCTCATCAGACTTTTTTGTCATACAAAATTACTTCAACTTCAACCACAACGCGCCTGTCGTTTTTTCCTTCATAACGCCCTGAAGAATACTGTTAGAGAAATGAAGATGGATTTGTGAGAGTACCTTCTGATCTTTCAGTTGTTTCTCCTTGTTCAAGTCGTAGACATTTTGTCAAATCCCAACAACGCATCATTTAAATTCATCTGTGAGTACAGTTTGCATCTTCACATCCCATAACAAGAATATTGTATTGCGATCCATAGCGAAATTTCATGCTTCATGGCTACTATCAATAACAAAAATTTCGAACAAATCCCAACTAATAGCACTGATATCACTCATTGGGAAATAAAACAGATCGAGATAATATAAATGACACGAAAATCACAAACAAACAACAAGATAAAATGCAAAGAATTAATTAATAGATAAATGGAGTATTTTATTCAATTACCAAATATGATGAAAATAAATACAATTACCGCACCTACACAATTATTCTATATTTCAGTAATACAAAACTTGTGAAAAGATTTGAGTATTTAAAGGGGTGCATGCCAAATCCTAGAAATACCATAAAAATGGAAACAAGATAAAAAATCACATGAAATAAAGGAAAAAAATATATTTTTCAAAAAAAAAAAATTTTAATCCAACCTAATTTGAATAAATAAAAAATAAAAAAAAAAACCCAACAGCTCCTCTGTCATATCGCTCAAGCTTCTACCTTCCAAAATCAAAAATTTGGTAATTACACTTCAAAATCACCAAATCATGAAATGGATCATTCGGCAAAAAATACCAAAAGGGGTCCATCGCCAGCTGCTAGTCAACTGCTCAACTATGCAACACAAAACAACTCAAAGAGTATGTTTGGTTTGGCCGAGCTTAAAAAATGTAGAAGCAATTGAAACTAACTTTTAATCCAAATAGACGTCTAAATGTAACCTTTTTATTTTGCTTTTTTACCTTTCTTAAAAGTTCACTTTCTCGTTGATTTTTTTTTTCTTTTTTTCACTAAAACAATTCTTTACTTTGAAAAAAATACTTTTACATTTTTAAGGTTTAAACAAATGTGCACTCAAAGATTCTATGTCTTGATAAATACATAGGATTATACGAGTTTTGAATCCACTATGTAGCATTTGTAATTGTTACAATTTCAACTAAATCGATAGGGTTTACACTTTCATCACTATTCGTTGTTGATCATTACTTAATTCAAGAAAAAATTGAAACAAAATTATATAAGAGAATATTTACAATAGACAATCAAAAAAGGAGGATTATTGTCTCTATTTGACAAAATTTGTAAATAATTATTATTAATGAAATTATAAGTATTATTTATTTATTCACCACTTATATATCTATTTAGATTAATCTATTTATATCCCCCCACAATATATATATATACACCACATTTTATTCACAACGAAGGTTTTTAATATTTGCTCACTTTTACTTTTATGTCCTCAACCTTTTTCGCATCATATACTCGTATACTCATATTGTCATTCTTAACCTTCAATTAATTAATATATTTTGTCTTGGATCACGATTTTCATCCAAATATTCTAGCAATGTGCATTAAAAAGATGGACAAATATTTATTTTAACTTTTATATTAGTTATTTATTTCGATTATTTAAAAATGGGAGATAGAAATACGTTTTTTTGGCCTCATACCAAATATTTTGGATGAAAATCATTTTTATAGATAAGATGTGAAAATTAATATAAGCAAATGGAGGCTAAGCAAAAAGTTGTTCTTTTCAATAACAAACAAAAAAATTACATATTTTTAAGCAAGTCACAAGTTGATGTTACTGTATAATATAACATATCTAAACCTTTTTATTATTTATGCATTTTGGAGATTGTTTAAATTAATAGTAACGCGTTCGAAAAACATTTTCTGTCAATTGCACACTTTTCAA